GGCAGAGGAGCTGTATGCATTCTTAATATTTGCATAAAAAAAGTCCAACGTCTTATTTTCTCTGGTGGTGCAGCTGACAAACTGCTGGAAAGTTGGTAACGTAACAGAGAGGGAGACGTTGTTGAAGTCTCCAGAGATCGCCATGAATGAGTTTGGATGCTGTGTTTGTAGTTCAGCCACGACGGAGCTGATGACATCACAGGCTGTCTCTGGTGCGGTTCCTGGTATTATATAAACCACTACCACTACTACATTGTAGAGATATTACAGTTACTATCTACGAAACAGTAGTACTATTATTAATTCATTAAAGTGTTTTGCATCTTTGGTATATACGGAATGTGTTATTTGTAACAAATCTAATTCATGATGTCCTTCAGTGACCTGTAGCTCTGAAAATATTACCAGTATAAAGTTAAGATGTTGCATGGCCTCATTAATAGATTAAAGTTGTGGTGATCCGAGTTTTGTGTTTTTGTGTAGAACTGTGTTTTGAAAAAAAAACAAAAACTTTCTTTATCCCAGAAGGGAAATTCAATTTTTTGGTATATGTGCTTGTGTTGACTGGTGGCTGTGACTGCATTTCAGGCTGGGCAGGGTTTTCCAGATGGGAGTGTTCTCACTCACCCTCTGCCACACCGACACGCATCTACGATCAGTGCTGGATAAAGCCTGTCTCCACCTGTGCTCCAGCGCCAGTGGATTATCCTCCTTAGAGTGGTAGCAGGCCAACAGTGCTTTTGAGAATTTTGTGCTTTGTAAAACTTTGCTTTGTCTAACGTGTGTTTTCATCTGTGCTTTTGCCAGAACCTCCCCAATCGTCGCTTTGCCAGCCGAACCACAGCTTTGTGTCGCCTTGTCTCCCGGCTCCCCCAGGAAACTTCCCCAGGATTTCCCTCACTCACTTGGCTACCCTCACAAGCTTCCTGGTGTCCCCTGGTTCCCCGCTGTTGTTAAATAAATCCCTCATTTTCACTCCTAAACCCAGTGTTGCATTTTTGGATCCTTCCTTAGACTGAACCCTCAAAAGTTACTGTACATAAAAAACAACTGATTCTGAGGAGGTTGTGTTGGAATTTATTTAACATTTGGTTGGTTGAATATTAAATAACCCTCCATCATTGCAACTATGTGCTCACAAGATTAAAACGCTACGTGAAGAGTTCAAAAATCTAATTGTTTTGCTCAGACTATTGATGAGTGGATCTGTAAGGAGGCTGCACAGATCACACAGACGATGGATGTTGTGCTGCTGGTGGTTCTGTAACATGCTGAGAAGACCTCAAACAGCAGCATGAACTGATTACTCAGGCAGAGAAGCAGCAGGAAGCTCAGCTCAGCAGTCTCTTGATCGTTTTTCTGAATCAAGAATTCATCTGATCTCGGACTTGCCAGCATTCAAAGTGTGCAGCTCTGACCTTCCTGCCATGTTATCTCTTCAGTCTTAAAAT